CACACACACACACACACACACACACACACACACACACATACATACACATACACACTCTCATTCAAATTAAGTAACCATTAAAGGGCAGGGAGAGTTTCAGATCTAAGGATTGATGCAGCAGTTCACTCAGTCCTGCAACAACTCTACATTTGACCTCCTGGTTCATATAAAGGCAGAATATTCACTGCAGTGAAGAAATATTTCTTTCTAAAATTTGATATTTTTTACTTTAGTAAACTCTCTATGGAGTTGTTTAGCTTATGTCTCTTGTTTAAATGGATGTAGCATTGTGCTGCACTTTTTAGGCTAACAGTTACATTGGATATTTAAAACTTTTACCAAATCAACAGGTAAGTGTGTTTATTTTACTTTAACACTTTAAAGGTAAAATACTTTGATTTTCACCAAATATTATTTCCTGTATTTTGTCACAGATGCTGGAACAACTCACTTTTGTCATAGAGCTAAAAACCTTTAAGGAATATTTGATTTCTTCAAATGAAAGTTCTTAAATTTTCATATAATACAGACCACTGCAGAAGGTTTTTCCTGCCCACAGCCATCACCATCTACAATAACTCTTTAGATAAATGAGTTACTACCACATCTAATTTCCCTTTGGGATCAAAAAAGTATTTTTGAATTTTTGAATTGAATTGATTTAAACATCTTGTGGTTTCATAGCTGAAGGAAACAATGACATTCGCAGACCTCCTGGAGCAGGTTGGCAGCACGGGACGCTTCCAGGTCCTGCATGTGTCACTCCTCTGCCTTCCTGRTCTGCTGATGGCCAGTCACAACCTGCTGCAGAACTTTGTGGCCATGGTGCCTCCTCACCACTGCAGCCCACCCTCCAACCTCTCCGGGTCTCAGCTGAGCCCAGAGGAGACGCTGCTCATTGCCATCCCACTGGATCCTGCAGGGAAACCACAGAGATGTCAGAGATACGCGAGCCCACAGTGGCACCTCATGGACAAGAATGGGAGCTCAGCTTCAGAGGAGCGTGGTGAGGATGAGGATGTTGTCCTGCAGGGATGCACAGACGGGTGGTCCTACAATATGACTGAACAGACCTCCACTATTATAGCTGAAGTATGGCTGCATGTTCAACATGGTTTTACAATAAGGGTTTAAACAGATGTTTAATGCTTTTCAATATTTGATAGTGGGATTTGGTGTGTGACCTGCGCTCCTATAAGCAAATGGGACAAACTATTTATATGGGAGGTGTTCTTGTGGGGTCTCTTATCTTTGGAAGCCTCTCAGACAGGTAAGAATTATATTTTAAAATGACTTCTAAATATTTAGCATTTCTGGATCAATTAAACTGATAATGACGTTTCCTTGACATTCTTAATGAATCAAATTTTTTATAGATGTCACATTTCTCTCCTAGATTTGGTCGACGTATCCTCCTGATTGTTTCTTATCTGCTCATGGCAGTTTCAGGAACATGTGCTGCTTTCTCCTCCTCCTTCTCCCTATTCTGTCTGTTCCGGTTTGGTTGTGGAATGGCTGTGTCAGGCGTGGGACTTAATACCCTCTCTCTCAGTAAGACAACTAAACAAACAAACAAATAAATAACGGATCATTTGAAAAGGTATCTACTGTACAGATGCTCAGAAACATTGATATAGATCAAAAAAGGATATGCAAATGTAGAAAAACAAAATCAATCATGAACAATGGGAAACAATAAAGAACATCAGGTGAATGAAGGTCACAGCTTGAAGAAACCAATAGCACCACATCATCAGCATAAGCAGAGACAAGATTCTGAATTTCCCAAACCCGACACCCTCCTCCTTATGACTGTGCCTTGAAATCCATTTCATAAACACCACAAACAGGATCAGAGACAAAGGAAGGACTGGTGGAATCCAACCGCACCACGACTGAGCTTGACTTTGTGTCAAGAAATCGAACACAGATCCTGCCTTGGTTTGACAAGGACCAGATAGTCCACAAAAGCATCCTGGCACCCCATTCTCCTACAGTATCTTTCACAGAATGGAGGATCTTGGTCATAAGCCATCTCTAGGTCCACAAAACACATGTAGATTGGAGAGTCAAACTTCTATGACGGAGCCCGAGCTGGGTATAGAGTTGAGTCCAACTACATCCCCCAGCCTCTCACACAAGCTCTAGCTTCTTACTGACCAATGAGGTGACATTTCATGTCCCTAGAGCTATTTTATGCCTTCAGGTCTAGCTCCAGGGAGGTGRCCGTTTCCCTTTTTAAACAAAGTACCCTGTTGCATACATTGTTTGCTATACATGAAGATCTTTGAATCGCACTTGGTCTGATCTCTACTCTGTTTGCCATGGTGGACTATACCAGGGCTGATGGCCCATAGTCCCTGGGATCACCAGGTTAGTTATACTCCTCCACCASTGGACCAAGACCAACAGCATTGCACTGGAGTGATTGAGTGTTAAGTGGCTGGGATAAGAGTCAGCTTCTCTAAGTTAGAGGCCATGGTGTTTAACCAGAGGCTATTGGAATTCCCCTTCTGAGTTGGTGGGGAGTCTTTGTCTCAAGTATCTGGGCATCTTGTTCATGAGTGATGGCGGGATGGAGAAAGAGATGGATTGAAGGATCAGAGCATCATCCTTAATAATGAGGGCATTGCTTTTGGTCAATCATGGTGAAGAAGTTGAGTCAATAGACCTGGGAAGGCTTTGGGGGAGGAGCTAAATAGTGCTGCTGGGGTGAGGGATATCTGGGTCCCTCACCTGGATCTGTTGCCTCCATAACCCAATGACAGATAATCAGTAGAAGATGGGAGACATACGTGGGATAATAATTTTTATGACTATTTTATGAACTGTAAAAATGTTCCAGGATGAGTGTTTGGATTATTGTTAAATTTCACATTCAAAGTAAGCTACATTGAAAAACTTCTTCACACAGATAATACATCATTTCTTTCTTTTTTGTGCCTTTCTAATTTATTTTCTGATTTGCTTTTTCAATTTGACCCTCAAAAATTGGGTTTTCATTATAAAATTTCATGTGTCTTTGTTTAAAGCTGTAGAGTGGATCCCCACTCGRGTGCGGACTGTCACAGGGATGGTACTGGGTTCCTGTTACACTTTGGGACAGCTGATCCTGGCAGCCATCGCTTACTTCATCCGAGACTGGAGGTGGTTAACCCTGACTGTGTCACTTCCCTTCTACGTCTTCTTCCTCATGTCATGGTGCGACACTAAACACAAGACATGCAGCTGGAGTCACTAATTTGGGCTTAGATTTAATTTTTTTATTTTATTTGTCATGGGAATGAATGTCATTTGAACCATTATGTGGTCAAATATCCGGTCAGACTTGTATTAAGTTATGCCTTGTTAAAGCTATAAAAAGTTGAAAGACATGTACCCAAATGGTGTTCATACCCATGATTTTATGTAAACCTTTGATTACAACTTTATGGACTGTAACTTTATGACCAGATCAATATATCCATGTGTTTATTTTGCAGGTGGTTTCATGAATCCTCAAGATGGTTAGCTTTAAATAAAAAGCCTGAACAAGCTGTAAAAGCTCTACAAAGTGTGGCAAAGTTTAACGGACGACACGAAGAAGGAGAAAAGATCGATGTTAATGTGAGAAAGTTTCATTTGTTGGTGTTTTTCAGCAAACTTATTTTACTGTTGAAAGATATTAGATAATTTAGGCGCGTCCGTTTACCTTAATATGTGTTCGTAACCAGTTGAATGTTTGAATGTGAAAAGAGTTAWACAACCACAAACAGRGCTGAGCTCGAATGCACATTTAATGAGTGTCTCTGCTCTCTCCATGCATCAGCCCCATAACCCGGAAGTAATGTTACTTATAACACTTTCTTCAGAATTTGACCGAAGGGGGAYCCCTATCCTATTTCCAGGGTCAAATTCTCTTGACATAATTCCTGTTTTGACTCGTGTTTCTTMTGRATTCAGTCATTATGTGTTGAATATTTGTTCAGGCATGTAGCTACTTCTAGCCTGTACCTTCCGCTCTGAGGAGCCATCTGTGACAGCCACTCAGACTAGTCTGTACATAAAAATCACCAGTTTAATCACAAACATGTTCARACAATGGTTTATAAAACTATATCATGTTTCATCTAAGAAAAGACTATGAAAGTCAGTAAACAACCCCAATAAATGTCTTCACTGTATTTAAAACTATGCTCTTTCTTTACATAGATGCTACAGGAGTCCATGAAAATGGAGATGTCTTGTTCCCAGGGATCATACTCTGGTCTGGATCTGTTCCGCACACCCTACATGAGGATTATAACTTTTTGTCTCAGTACTGTTGGGTGCGTGTCATGATGTTACTGAAGAACCAATAAACAAGTAAAACCCATCTTCAYTWATTCTGCAATGAAACTTTGTTTATAGGTTATCAACCAGTTTTGCATACTACGGCCTCGCGATGGACCTCCAGAAGTTTGGTGTGGACATCTATTTGATACAAGTGATCTTTGGAGCTGTCGACTTTCCTGCTAAAGTTGCCATGACCGCTTGCATGATTTTTATTGGACGTCGGACATGCCAAAGTGTTGCTCTCCTTGTTGGTGGAATCCCCATTTTGATCAACATTCTGGTTCCCTACGGTATGATAGAACACACAGAAACCACAGTGGCCTGTGTGTTTGTATTAACGCTACAACACTGTTGTAGCAATCTAATAAATGTTCTCATTTTCTGCAGATAAACAAATCATTCGAACCTGTCTGGCTGTGTTTGGTAAAGGTTGTCTTGCTGCCTCTTTCAACTGTTGTTTTCTTTACTGTGGAGAACTTTACCCAACTATCATTCGGTGAGTCTTTCTTGGGAATTTCTCTAAACACTTGTAATTCATTTTCATTGTTCAAAATATCTCACTTTACAATTATTTTAATGCAACAAAGTTATGAGTTAAGAGCTACAGTTTGCACCATTTAATTCCACTAAATAAATCCACTTGCAGAGTTGATGTGTTCGTGAAAAAATTCCTGTCAGCAGATCTTAGGAGTTTTATACTGACKTGTAGGAATTTTCAAGTGACCTTTGGCCACACGGAGTCTCATGCTTTACATTCTTTTTTAATTATGGAGTTTATCAATCAAGACAWGACCTGCACTGTAATAATTGTTTTAACAAAACTAAAGCTAAAATGCAGAATCAGTTTGTGAAAACTGAAGTTTCTCCACAGTTTCACAGGATTTAAATGGAAGCTAGGCACTGCTTAATTAATCTACTAGATTAAATCATCATCAGCACATATGAGAGCCTCCATAACACAAAGTTGTTCTTGGTTTTGGGSTGGGGTTTCAAGGACAAACCTTTGTTTTTCTAAAAGGTTTTACAAACTTACAGTACTTCAGAACAAACCAGAAAATATCTGGAACCTCTTTTTTTTTTTCTTTTTTCTTTTTTTTTTTTGGGCACACACGGTCAGAGTCCAAATGTTTTGCTAAAATGCYCAGCTTCAGGTTCAGGCTCACAAATTGTCCGCACGATGGTGAGAGATTGATGATCTGGGCTTGTTTCGCTGCTACAAGCAGTTCTCTGGACAAGAGTCAAACAGGAACTTATCTCTATATCAAGATATTGTAAAGTTGAATGTAAAACTGTGTCTTGCTTTGATTGTGGGTATAAAGGTTAAAAAAGATCACTTGAACCGCTATAAAATCTTTGAGATTGTAGTTGTTTGAAGGGAACAGCAAATCAAGTTTGATCTTCATCTCACTCAAACCATTAGCTTGTCAATCCAAACAGAATTTAACTCTTTATCACAATGAAGTTGCTTAAAGAGCTAGAGCAGTTAAGATTTTAATTGTTCAAATCATTTCCACAGAACCAAACTTCAACAGATCTGAACTGTCTAACAGTCATATACACAACTGTGTGGTCATGTCTGTTTCATTTTTTCTCCCTCAGTCAAAAAGGCATGGGATGGGTGTCTGTGATGGCACGAGTAGGATCCATGTTGGCTCCCTTAATGCAGATCACTGGYGACCACATACCCTGGCTTCCAGGCCTGATCTTTGGAGGAGCTCCAGTCCTCGCAGGAGTGGCAGCAATATTTCTACCAGAAACACGTGGCACACARCTTCCTGATACAATTCAGGATGTGGAGGAGAGGTRAGCTCACTTTATTTAACTTAAGATCACAGATCTCTTCTTGAATTAAAACCATGGGTCTGAAGGCAGCCTAAGCATGATTGTTTTTAGTCTGTATCTGTATTTCCAAAAATGGAAACAATAGTTTTAATAACAGAAGGACTTGTTTTTGTGTTTTTATGYTTTCTTCAAGCAGTTGCAGAAGAACAGAGAATGACACTGATCAATCTTCTWTCTTATGTTTTGTTCTAATCAAAGGGGATCTGGAAGAAGTTCCAAGGTGTCATTAAAGAAAGCATCGAACCTGCAGGAAACTCAGTCGAATCTTCTCAAACAGACTGCCTGAGGRGACTCAACTGCAGCTCTGCTGAATCTTCTGATGAGTTCAAGAGGATTTTTCAAATACAAAATACAAGCAAAATTCTCATATCTCATCTTCTGCTGTAACATTATGTTGTAACAATTCTGGAGGAAATGTATACATATCGTATTCAGATATTTTTTTTGATCTTTGCTCATAATCTTTACATTTTTCTCACAGAACTCAACTACAAAAGATGTGAAGAGCTGAAATGATTTACAACACAACTGTAAATGGGATTTCAGCTTATACTGTATAGGTTTACCTGTGTAATGAACTTGTTCTTTTAGGGCTTGTCTCAGAGTTTCACAAGTTRGAAGGTCATACACATGTTTGAGATAACCACAGAAATAAAACAGACTGTATAACAACCTGTCGTGTTAATGTCTTATCTAAAGGAGATTCTTGGAAAAAAAAGCACCTGCTGTAAGATTAGTGACAAAGGCAGCAGATTGTAGAAAAAACGTGTTTTCTGTTTGTTTTGCTTTCTTAACATAGAGATTGAGTATTAAAGGAGTCACAAAAACGCCTTGATAGCAGTAAAAATAGTTTTTTAACTGCATTCTGCGCTTGTTTTGTTAAGTTTTTCTTACATTTTAAATGTTTAAAACATCTAACTTTACGTAAACTGTGCATTTATGTTACCAGAAAAATACAAGTCTGAAAAAGCAACTTTTAAATTATATATATATTATTGAAAACTAGATCACAAACCAACTGGTTAAAAACAAGATGTCAAACCTAAAAATCTGTTTGTGATCTTTAGGATTTTAACAACTAGTTGTGGGCATAATTGCTGATTAGCTAAAAGCGAATATATTTTTAAAATTTTGTGGCTAACTGCTAACACCTAACAGTGCAGTGGAATTAAAGTTTTGTTTAGTGTATTAGCTTTTCACTAAGTTTGAAAACCATTATCAGAACAATTAGCTTACACTAAATTAGGTTCTGCCAACTTTACGTCCACTAACAGCTAACTAAAACTAACAGCGTTTAGTGTTAGTGAAGCTATATATTTTAGTTATGAGTTAGCAAAGCTAACTATTTGTTTAGTGCCAACAACTGTTACCAACTCAAGGATTAGTTTTAGACTATTTAAATCTGTGGATTGATCTCCCACTTTTCCCTTCCAGGTTGCAGGACTTAAATCTCCATACATTTACAAATATTTTCTTTTATAAAATTTCTTGAAGGAATGCATATTGCCCACCACCTTGAATGCCCAAATATTCAARAGACTTTTACATGATCCATTAGTACTCAGAGTTTGTGTTGGGGATGATCRTCAGGAGTACCACATCAAATTTAATCTCTACATGTGTAATTACTGAGATTTGGATATTACTGTGTTTGCTAAAATGGATGTGCATATTTAGCTGACAGACATCCAAATGAACTAAAACTGACATTTATCATATCATCTGCCTTTCYTMGCAGCAGATATAACAAAACTAACAGTCTAAAAGAGATCTTGATTTATTTTCATAAAGGTATTTGATATGTAAAGCCAAACGACWGGTATTTGTGTGCATAAGTGATAATTACAGACATTTGTGGAAAATCTACCTAATTTCAATGSTTGCTTTATGGGGGATTAGAGATGCAAGTCTGTTTCTCTTAATCCTACGCATTTGTGTTTTCAACAAGCTCTTTTTCTGCTTTGATCAACTTGTTCTGAACTTAATTCTTTGTTCTGCACATTCCTCTTGGCCTGACACAGTTGTCAGGTTGCGGAAGTGATGAATGTTAATAAAGATTTGTTGTTGATGTTGGATGTACAGAAGGATTTTTTTTTTGGCAGACTTCACTCAAAAGCTGCAATAAGATGGCAAAGACTTGTTTTTAGTTTCAGACCAGCTGCAGCTCAAAAACAGCACACTGAAGCTTCCGGTGCCATTTTAGATTTTTCTTTTGTCTCACAGCTCATTTTGTTTTACATTGTATTTGTAGTGCTGTGTAGATTTTGAGCAAAACAAACGAAACTACTTTTGAAGCTGCCAAAGAACAAACAACAGAATAGGAACTTGACAGAAACAGACAACTGCATGTTAAAATCGCTTATAAAAAAGGCCAGAATGCAGCATTGCTGATTGGTGTGATTCGCTTAAAATAAACTTCAACTAGAAATGTTTTTAATGTCTTAAAGTGAAAGGTCYGCTGTTTTGGAAGTGGGGTTCTGCTATGAACAATGAACATCTTACCTGTTGTAGACAGCTCTTTGGCCAACCTCAGTTTGGAGAAATGAAGCGTAATTTTGCCATACATTTCACATTATACAGTTATTCCTGTAGTAATATTATGTTCAAACCTGCTGGTGTGAGGATTCTGTTTTTGTTTTGTATTTTAATTACAAGGGTGTTTTCCCCAGCTMGACAGCAAAATATTTTGATACATTAATACAGGGCTATTCAAATAAATTGCTCAGAGGGGCACAGTTAGAAGTCAACAGCTCAACAGAAGGACAATCATTACTATCCTTCACCATTTAAATTTATTCATTTTGTTGCATTGATTCAAAAAATTCAGGTTTACAAATGATATAAAAATATGTTCATATTAAATTTAATAAAAACAGAAGTCACTCGCAGGCCAAATTTAACACCTGTGGTCTAGCTTGTCAGTTTTGTCAGAATCAGACTGTGTTTTTCTAAACTAAGCATTATCTGCAACAGGTAGGATATTTTTTGTTTATAACTATTCCACAGAAACCCACTTTGAAGGATCTGAAATGTCAGAACTCAGTGGGGAGCACCTGGTGACTTCTAGGATCCCACTGTGCTCATGTCTGATCAGACATTTAACCTCTGTCAAACAAATCCTGTTGAAACATCTTTTGAAACATTAAAGTTGTGCTCAGAGACAAGTGACTGGAAAAAAATTAAAAAGTCAAACAAATCAGTGGGTTTTAAGGGGATCATTTACAATGCAGAAAGTTTGACAAAATAAAACCGTTCCTATTGCAACTTTGCTCTCATATTTAGATTTTCTCATTACTTTTTTGTTCCAAAACACTTAAACTTTTGTCCACTTTCTAAAATTGTGTGTGTAAAGTTTTATGACTATCATATTCATGTCCTTGTTTCCTTTACAGATGTATGACATAATTCCTGACTTGACTTTTTCAGAATCTAAAACATTTCAAAGTCTATAAAAGCTGTAGCCATATTTTAATCTTTTTTCCACATTCTTGTAAATTTTGCAGTCTGAATTACAAAAACTCCAAAAGAAATGCTGAAATATGTTCTTGAACAAAGTGTCACAGCTGAAAAAAACGTACACTTTTTGGTCTTGGTCATTCCCGCTGATAGTTACTTAAGCAAAACCATTTGCTAAAACTAAGAACAGGACACAAAAAGGAGAAAAATGGTGTTTGTATGAGTCGTAGATGCTCACATGTGAAGTGCAAATAATTACTTTAAAACACAAATTACTAGATGTATTAAACATTTTGTTCTATTCTGAAGAATCWTTTCAGCAAAGTCACTCACTAAACATTGTTAGAAGAAAAAAAGAAAGGGTGGGGGGATAAAAGGTCACAGTTCTTTTAAATGGTTGAATATTGATCAGCATCTTTTGCAACTGAAGTCAATCTCTCACTCATTGTTTTTCTGCTCCACTGAACGTCTGCTTTCTTTTTTGTTTAACTTTAAACCAGCAAACAAGTCACTGGAACTGAGAACAATCACAGATCAACAAAAACACAGAACAAAAAAATAGGCCAAATAACAAAACATTTTTTTTTTTGCTGATGCTAGTTTCAGCATGTGTCTCAATCTCACCCACCCCAACCACACACACACACACACACACACACACACACACACACACACACACA